AAAAAAAAAAAAAAGGGTGGAAGGAATACAGTCATTGTACCAAAAAGAACTGGCCGACGTTCAACCATTTCAGGAGGTAGCAAATGATCAAAAACCAATATTATCGAAGGAAAAAGTCCAAGATGGACTGAAGACACTGTGAAAAACAAGGAATACCAACTGAGATGTTTCAACAAACAGATGCAGCGTGGGAGGTGCTCACTTGTCTATGCCAAGAAATCTGGAAGACAGCTACCTGGCCAAGCGACTAGAAGGGATCCATATTTGTGCCTATTCCAAACAAAGGTGATCCAACAGAAAGCAGAAACTATCAAACAGTATCATTAACATAACCCACAGGTAAAGTTCTGCTGTAGATCATTCAAAAGAGGATGCAGTAGTACATTAACAGGGAACTGTCATTAATCCAAATTCAGAAGAGGACATGGAAAGAGGGATATCATTACTGATGTCAGATGAATCTTGGCTGAAAGCAGAGAATACTAGAAAGATGTTTACCTGTGTTTTATTGATTATGCATAGGCACTGGAAAGTGTGGATCATAACAAATTATGGCTAACACTGCAAAGAATGGGAATTCCAGAACACTTCATTGTGCTCATATGGAACCTGTACATAGACCAAGAGGCAGCTGTTCACATAGAACAAGGAGACACTACATGGTTTACAGTCAGGAAAGGTGTGCATCAGGGTTGTATCCTCTCACCATACTTATTCAATCTGTATGCTGAGCAAATAATCTGAGAAGCTGGACTATATGAAGGATTGGTGGAAGACTCATTAACAACCTGTAATATGCTGATGACACAATTTTGCTTGCTCAAAGTGAAGAAGATTTGAAGCACTTACTGATGAAGATCAAAGACTACAGTCTTCAGTATGGATTATACCTCAACACAAAGAAAACAAAAATCCTCACAACCAGACTAACAAGCAACATCATGATAAATGGAGAAAACACTGAAGTTGTCAAGGATTTCATTTTACTTGGATCCACAATCAACACCCATGGAAGCAGCGGTCAAGAAATCAAAGAACATACTGCTTGGGCAAATGTGCTGCAAAAGACCTCTTTAAAGTGTTGAAAAGCAAAGATGTCACTTTGAGGCCTAAGGTGTGACTGGCCCAAGTCATGGTATTTTCAATTGCCTCATGTGCATATGAGAGCTGGACAATGGGTAAGAAGACCAAAGAACAACTGATGCCTCTGAATTATGGCGAAGAATACTGAATATACCATGGATTGCCAGAAGAACAAACAAGTTTGTCTTGGAAGAAGTACAACCAGAGTGCTCCCAGGAAGCGAGGATGGCAAGACTTAGTGTCATGTACTTTGGACATGTCATCAGGAGGGACCAGCCCCTGGAGAAGGAATCATGCTTGGTAAAGCAGAGGGTCAGCGAAAAAGAGGAGAATCCGCAACGAGATGGACTGACGCAGTGGCTGCAACAATGGGCTCAAACACACAACAATTGTGAGGACGGCACAGGAGAGGGTATGAGTCGCCATGAGGGTGGCTATGAGTCGGAACCAACTTGACGGCATCTAACAAGACTTTCAGACTAAAGATGAAAAGAGACGTAAACAAATAGTGAACTCTAGATGGTATGTTTTTTTTTTTTTTGCAGTGGTTGTTGTTAGTTGCCACTGAGTCAATTCCGATTCATAGCGACCCCATGTGTGCAGAGCAGAACTGCTCCATAGGGTTTTTAAGGCTGTGACCTTTTGGAAGCAGATCACCAGGCCTGTCTTCTGCGGAACCTCTGGGTGGTTCCAACCACCAACCTTTTAGTTAGTAGTTGAACACTTAACTATTTGAGCCATTTAGGGATTTCTTTCTATTTTTATTGTACTTTAGATGAAGGCTTACAGAACAAACTAGCTTCTCATTAGTTAGTACACATAATGTTTTACGACACTGGTTAACAACCCCACGACATGTGAACATTCTCCCTTCTTGACCTTGGGTTCCCTGTTACCAGCTTTCCTGTCCCCTCCTGCTTTCTAGTCCTTGACCCTGGGCTGGTGTGCACCTGTAGTCTCGTTTTGTTTTATGGGCCTGTCTAATCTTTGGCTGAAGGGTGAACCTCAGGAGTGACTGCATTACTGAGCTAAAAGGGTGTCCAGGGGCCATACTCTTTGGGGTTTCTCCAGTCTGTCAGACCATTAAGTCTGCTCTTTTTTTTGTGAGTTAGAATTTTGTTCTACAGTTCTCTCCAGCTCTGTCCAGGACCCTCTACTGTGATCCCTGTGAGAGTAGTCAGTGGTTGTAGCCAGGTACCATCTAGTTGTACTAGACTCAGTCTGGTGGAGGCTGTTGTAGTTGTGGTTCATTAGTCCTTTGGACTAACCTTTCCCTTGTATCTTTGGTTTTCTTCATTCTCCCTTGCTCCCAAAGAGGTGAGACCAGTGGAGTATCTTAGATGGCTGCCCACAGGCTTTTAAGACACCAGATGCTACTCACCGAGGTAGAATGTAGAACATTTTCTTTATAAACTATGTTATGCCAATTGAACTAGATGTTCCCTGAGAACAGTGGTATGGGTTAATAATTCTAAAACTACTATCTGTGCATCCTATATAAGTCAATATATTGAGAATAATGGCCAACAGGTTTCTCACTTTTGGAGAAGGGAGCTATAAATAACTAAAGGGTCTTAAGGTGTTCAACTAAAAACAAGAGATAACGATACGAACTCCTGGTTTTTGTTATTCTTCCCCAGAGGAATAATTGAGGAATAATGCACCTATTTAAAGTATATAATTTGATAAGTTTTGACATATGTATTTATCTGGGAAACCATTACTGCAGTCAAGGTAATGAACACATCCATTAGCCCAAGTTTCCTTGTGCCCTTTGAAATCCCATTCTCCCACTCCATGTCAATTCCCCCCTATTTCCAAGCAACTACTGATCAGCTTTCTGTCACTACAGACTAGTCTGTTATTTTTTAGAATTTTATATAAATGGAATCACAGAATGTGTATTGCTCTTTTTCGTCTGGCTTCTTTTACTCTGTACAATTATTGAGATTCATCCATGTCACAGGGTATATCAACAGTTCGTTTCTTTTTCGTGCTGAGGAGTATTTCATTGTAGAGATACACCGTGGTTAGCTTAACCATTCACCTGCTGATGGACACTGGGTTGCTTCCAGTTGTTGACTATTCCTAATGAAGCTGCTGTGAACATTCACACACAAGTCTTTGGACATGTGTTTCCATTTCTCTTGTAAACACATACCTAGGAGTGTAAAGCCTAGACCATACAGCAGTGTATTTTTAATTTTTTAGAAACTACGAAACTGTTTTAAAAAATGGTTGTACCCTTTTACAGTCTCACCAGGAGTGTATGAGAATTCCAACGGCTTCATGTCCTTGCCAAAAAGACTGGTAGGGTCAGTGATTTTCACTGATCTGTTACTCCCCATGATCTGTTACTTGAATCTATTATGATTAGAAAATCAGGTAACAAAGTTCATCCATCAGGAAAGCTCCTAAAGTAGGCTTTCAGTGAAGGCCTGATTGCATCTTCTGCCAATCAAATGCACAGGCATGAAGGCACAGGTATCTACGTTAGCTGCTCAGGGGTCTTTTTTGTTTTGTTTTGGCCTGGATTTTAGTTTCTTCTGCTGCTGCTCAGGACAGCTGTGACTATTATAAGGGATCCCAGGTGAGCTGCTACTATAGTAAAATCAACAAATAATTAAACTTATATACCAAAATCACTTATAAATTTTAAGTTTTATAATAAAAAGCAAAAAGTCCAGAATGATGTGGTATTATTTTTGTTAAAAATAGCATGTAGAGAAATTGGCTATTAATGTTCAGGTAGTATAAATCAATTTAAAGCATGCAGCACACCTATTAGTAGTTATAAGTACTACTGTTCAAAGTTTCAAATTTTCCTCTAAGTCTTCAGAAAAGAGGGCTTTTAGAATTTTCAAAATGTCAATACATCTAAAATAGGAATTTTAAAAGAAAAACTGTTTTAGGTTTAAAGCCTACTCTGTACCATCATTAAAGGCCGCAACTTCTAGAAATACTGGCTTCTATTCCTAGCTCACCTGTGGAAAATGCATCAAAAGGATTACCTGCTTTTTTGAAAAGCTTTTCCAAAACATAATCATCACTGTTTCGTTCCTTTGCCTCACTCTCGTCTGCACTGTCTTGCCTCTGGAACTGCCTTTTCTTCACCAAGTGTGGAATTCGAGTTCCTTCAAACTTGGCGTCTTTGCAAAGCTTAGAACACTTAGGCTTCTCCTTCCGTCTGAGGCGTTTCTCCAGGGTCCCGTCTTCTACCACAACATGATGTTTTGTTTTTGACTTGTGCTTATAAAAATTATTCCCCATTTGCGCATTCTCTGAAAAAGGCTCTTTCTGAACCTGGCAGCTCTGTCCTTCACACTGAACCTGGCAGCCCTCTCCTTTACAAGAAAGATCTTGCTTTTCATCAGTGCCTTCCTCACCAGGTGTCCTGCATGTTTCACTGTCTCTTGGAGAATCTGAACACTCCCTGTTTCCACTGATCTTCGATGACTCCTCTAGTCTGGAAACTGCATTTATTTGCCAATACTTCTCTTCTAAAAGCACATCACTGCTAGTTAGATTATTACTTGTTTGAGGGTCATCTCTCAGGGGATCACTGTAATTAGCAGTTACTGCAGGTACTTCAGCTCCTATAAACTTAGACTTCTCTTCAGGTGACGTGGCATCATTTGCAGATATATCAGAATCTGGTAATTTTTTACAATTCAGAACGCCATGTTCTGTTCCAAAGGCTGGTTGGATTTTTCTTTTTAAATGGCGTTTGGGTGTCTGAACATCTGAACCAGTTCCTTTAAAGGAGAAGAACACAGTTAATATTATCTTTCAAAACTGTAAGGTTTATGACTTTAAATTAAGTGACTTTATGTAATACCTGCAAAAATAGCACTTGTCTCAGTGCTCTGGGACGCGTCAGGGCTAGTCAGGGTGAACAGCTCATAAAGATCGTTGGATTTGAAGAATCGCCTTTGTTTAGGATCTTTTAGTACTCTATTTGTTAAAAACTGCTTGAAGATTTGTCTAAAAAGATAAAAAATAAACTGGTATTAAACAATGTTTAGCTGTACCTCAAAATTTAAGTTACAAAACAATATAAAAGAGGTATGTTAACTGCAGTTGCATAAATGTCTAAATAATCCCCAAAACTTTTAGCCTTTAAAAATCACAATTCAGGAATTACATAGTACATCAGGTGGGTTGGTCTTCTGTAAATTACAGAATTTAAATTGGAAATAAAACCTTATTTACATCCAATGAGCGTTTTCAACCTCCCAGAGTCATCAAATGTCAAGAAAACACCTTTTGCCACACCACTCACATGACTCACAGCCTCTGAGCTGGAAAGGGTGAGTCTCCCTGACTCCGGGACATGGGGTCCTCTGCCCTGCCCTACTTGGGAGCCTATGATGGGCTCAGGAAACCACGACCTGTGCTTTCAAAGATTTCCCTGTGACCCATCTCCACCCGTTCCCACCTGCTGATCCACTCTCTACGCTAAGGCTCCACACCACCATCACTCTTGCACAGGGACCTCCACAGAGCAGCCCAGTCCCCTCCTGGTCGTCTATTCTTCAGGCTAAAGCATGGCTCTCTAAGAGGATGCTTTTCTCTCAACAGGATCCAACTCGTCTCCAGCCCTCCCTCAACAAGGGTCCTCGAAGAACATGCGGTATTCCAGGAGTGGCTCAGCTGCACGTGTAGAGCAGGCACCCCCTGGTCCCCAACTGAGGAACTGGGGTTGAGCTCAAAAATAAAATCTTTGGTGGGGGAGGGGGGAAACTAACAGTACCCTAACACTAACTACCGTTGTCTAAAATTCCCCAGTCGTCATACAGAGAGCTGGAGCAACAGAACAGTGGGCCCTCCTGGTCAGCCTCTCTCTAAGGGCAGCGGAACCACCAGGGCACACACACCAAGTACCCTGCATGGTGTCTGAAAATGCCAGCATACTAGCATTTCAAGTTTGTCACTTTAAAACATTTTCTGAAAAAAAGAGACACACTATACTAGGCAGGAACATTTGTCTCAGATAATGATTAATATAAAGTTTACACATAAGTAGTCCTCAAAGTATAAAAGCAAAAAATTATCAAGTTTGAAGATATTTAATAAAAACTCACATTAAAGCCACCTAAGCTTATCTGAATGACAGAAAAAAAAAGAAAAAAGAAAAAAACCTCCACATCCCTTAAGTTATATCAATTATTGCTCTCAGATGAAAAGACCTTTTTAAAATAACACTTCAAAAAAATCCCTCGCTCAAAACCCTGGTGGCCTAATTTCTGTATCCCCCATCTGCTGCACCAGGCGGGCAGAGGTGAGCCAAGGAGCGCCGACCCAGAGTACTGACCGGTGGTAAATCTTCTCCTCAATGGTGCCCGCAGTCAGGAGCCTGTACACAGTCACCTGCTTCTTCTGGCCTATTCTCCACGCTCGCTCCCGGGCCTACGGCAGAAACACAGCTCAGCAAACGCCTCCCCAACAAGGAGGACTGAATGGAACAGTGATGAGCTGGGAGATTCCTTTCACTCCTAAAGTGAGAATTTGGGCTAACGAGGCCAAGCACACTGAAGCCCTATATTAAGGAAGATAACAGCCAGGCAACAAAGACAGGACTGAGACATCTCTTCTTGAAAAAAAAGAAAAAGGGTGTTCGTAACGACACATACTCCCTTTTTACCCCAAATCTAGCCATGAATGCTATGAATAAACTGCTGAAGTCTCTGTGTGAACTTGGAGAGTGCTTTCCATGACGAAGACTAGGAAAAAACCAAGGACACGCGCTATGGGCTGAAGCTAACTAGAACATCAAAAGACAACCACAAGTGCTAATAATTAAACCATATTTCTACCAATAGGTTAACAAATAACAGACCTGTGTGTCTGTGCTTGGATTCCAGTCGGGGTCATAGATGATGACTCTGTTTGCCCCTGTCAGGTTGACTCCTATGCCGCCCACACGCGTGGTCAGAAGAAACACAAATATGGACGTGTCCTAGAGGTAACATACGACATGCAGTATGCACACTGAAGACCCGCCACAGCTCCTTACCTCTGCTTTTACATATTCTACATACAGCAATCTGTCCCAGTATAAGGAATCAGTTATATCCTAGAGATCTTCGGTGAATCAAGATCCCACCTCAGAGCTCTTTTTTAATACCACTAATATTAGCAATATTTAAAAACTGGGTTTTAAAGAAAGAACACACATTCTTTGCTTAAATATGCACATGCGCACGTGCACACTCGCACACTCAATAATCCAGAAAATTCAGAAACAGAGTTAAAAGCAAAAAATCCCTTCACAGCCTGCTCAATCCCAGATATAAACACCACTCAGTCTGGTGTGGACTTGTTCATTCCTCTTCCTCTGCAGTAAAAAAAAAAAAAAATGCTGTTGAGTCAACCTCGACTCAGGGCAATCCTATGTATGCCAGAGTAGTACTGTGCTTCACAGGGTTTTCAACAGCCGATTTTTCAGAAGCAGACTGCCAGGCCTTCCTTCTGAGGTGCCTCTGTGTGGACTTGACCCCCAGATCTTTTGGTTAGCAGCCGAATGCATTAAATGTTCGCATCCCCCAGGGACTCTTCCTCTGCATGCAGCAGCACTAGCTGACTTCACCGTAAACATTTACCCATTACCTCATTGTAGCGTGTAATCAGTGGCTGTCTTGAAGCTATGGTAGTGGTACCGTCCATCTTGACGTAGGAATACTTTCGTGCTCTAAGGAATACTTCAAGTATGTCCAGCATCTATTTGGGGTGCGGTTGGAGAGAAGGGTTTAAAAATCCCATAAATATTCCCAGGGAGTGCCTCTACATTTGTGTCCACAGAGTCATACCTTCACCAAACAACCTTACATTACAAGGGGTTTCTTGCTTTCAGGCAGATAAATATAATTGGTACAAGAGTATATTCAGTATTTCCTTCTGCTACTTCTTACAAGTTTCATAAATAGCCTGGCGATAATTTTGTTCAGGTCCAAACTGACCTGCACACAATCACACAGTTAATCTTTAAGAAACCAACTTCTGGGACCATCTCTACAGAACTTGAGCTCCCAAAGAGATCTGCAGGCGGCCACCTAACTTTTGAATTAAGCGATATAAATCATAAAGAACTCGTTTCTTATATGAGGTTTGTTCACTCACCTGTCTTGACTGAGAAAACAGCAATACTCGCTGGCCCTGCTTGTGCCATATTTTCAACAAGGACTCAACCACTATCATTTTCCCAGAGCGCCTCCAGTATCCAAACTGATCTTCCTCTAATTCCTCATCTGGGAGACCTCTGAGATTCCTGGGACCTCCAGAGAAGAGATCTGGGTGGTTGCATATTTTCCTTAGGGCTACAAGTCCAGAGAAAATCTATGGTGTAAAAGAACACATGAACTCAGGTTACCCCACGTAAAATAATATTTACTTAGGAAGGAAGGGAAGGAAGCTGTTCAATGTGTAACACAAGATAAAAAGTAATTCTTCACCAGCTTCTCAGTTTATTCCTGAATCACAGCACATTAAGAGTTGGAAGAAATCAACCTTCATTCATTTTCTTTTCTCATTAGGGCAAGTTCTCTGGAAGAAGAATTCTGTTGGACCAAGCATGTCTATAGGGGCCATATTCAAATGCTGAAAATGTATTTTTCTTCACTAGAAAAAGGTTAAGCAGTTCACAGCATTATACATTTGATATAGAAAACAAGACATCTTTCAAAGAAATGAACACTGAAAATATCACACCAACTTAGATTTGGAGGAATCAGTCATGTGACTTAACGTTTCATTCTTAAGTACTCCACTACAAGTTCTGTAGTGTAGTAATAAGTCAGAGACTGACGTTCCATTCACCTTTATATTTTTATTACATCAAAAAAGATAACTGCACAAAAAATGCAATCCTGGGAACGCTGCGGAGGATGGCCTGAACAGCAGAAGGGCACAGCAGACCAGGGTGTGGTGCCCCATCTCCCACAGGGCATTAACGAAACCTTCACCAAGGGCTCTTTCACAGCCTCCAGACGACGACTCGAATGAGCCCACCGGTAAAGAAGCTCAAGCAGGAAAAGACAGATCACAAATTAAGCCAATCACCAAAGGATCTGGTAGTTTTAACTAGTCAACTACAGCCAAATAAGTAAACAATAAAGGATCTGAACAAGTCCGAAGCACTGTCAAACTCCCCTCCGAGCCACCTGTAGGTGACTTCTCCTCCTCCAGACCTGCGCTGTTCAGTACCGTGCCCACCACCACTGGGCGACTGAGCTCGGGAATTGTGGCTAGTCCAAACCGACACGTGCTGTAAGCGTAAAATACGCACCCACTTTCACAGACTTAGTACAAAATTCTTTAAATATTTCATTAATATTTTTTCATTTTGATTACATAATGAATTAATATTTTGAAAATGCTGCGTTAAAAAAATATATTATCAAAATTAATTTCACCTGTTTTCCTTTTACCTTTTCTAACGTGACTCTAGAAAGCATAAAGCTACCTGTGTGGCGTGTGTTTTGTATCTGTTGGACAGTGCTGACCTAGACGATCTAAGGCTTCACAACTCGGAGGCACGTGAAGGAGTTAAGGGGAGACTGAGGGGAGATGAACAGATGCCAGTGTTTAAAAAATCGCCCAGAGATACCAATGACGGACGAGATAAACTGTGAGAGATGGTTGAAAGAACAGAAATTACTTATCTGGGAAAAAAGCATCTAGATTCTACAGAAGCACGTCACCATTCATCTCTGTCTACCTAGAAGCATGCGACGCAGAAAGTGTGCAGAGGACGCAGTGCTCTTCCGCCAAGGAGGACAAAGGATCCTGGGCCACAGGACCAACCTCGGTTATAGGACACGTGAGGATGACCTTGCTGACACAGGACCTATACACAGCAGACTAGACTTTCAAGGCCAATTGTGAAAGCATGTCTCAGAAACAATTCCACCTGGACGACAGCAAGGAGAGCACGACCCCATGTCCACGAAGCCCCTCCAGCCCTCAGAAGCCTTATGTGGCAAGTAAACAGAGCACAAAGAAGTCAAATAGCTTCCCTGGTGCTCTAGACTAAACGCTGATTATAAACCTAGTACATGCACTTACTGAACAGACTATACCCCACATATTGCTGAGTACTGTCAATAGCTAAAATGCTGTTATTTACTTACAGAAAATTTTATAAAAATAACTCTTCCTGGTGTACCTACTAACCCCAAGAGTGCAGGGCTGTCTTCCCTAATCCTGTACAGGCTCACCAATCCCTACAGGATTCATCGCTGCAGAACCGATCCTTCAGTGATGTCCTTCCACTAGACCAGAGCGTGGGATTCCAGGGTTACAATGCCGCGGTGAAGAGAAAAGGGAGGGTGCAGAACCTGAACCGTATCTCTCACTTCTGGAAGGGCTCCAGATTAAGTTGAGGTTCTCACTGAAGAGTTTCAACAGGATAACAGAGACTCCCTGACCTAGTGGCCAGCACATGCATCTGAGTGAAACTAATGCCCAGATTCCAGCACACAGCCTTGGCCCTGCCTGTGAATTTCTGTCATTTGTGTACAGTCAGCCCCTCTGTATCCGCATCTGTGGAGTCAACCAACCACGGATCAAAAATATCCAGGAAAAAAAAAGTTCCAAAAAGCAAATCTTGAATTTGCCATGCGCTGAACACTATGCTGACTCCACAGGAACGAAGGGATGTGTAGGCAAACCCTGCTGTAGCCTCGAGCCGTTTCCCTCCACCACTTGTTTAAGCATCGTGCATCTCACATCCTGTCAGTGTTCCCTAAACAGCACAGTACTGCACCACTGTTTATCTAACATTCACACTGCTTTAGGTATTGTAAGTAATCTAGAGATGAACCACT